CACTTTGCCACTGTATTACCCAGGGTTACAGATAGTCCTCTCTGCTACCATAGGATGGTGCAGTCTGATAAAGGGATGGCATTTTATAACTCTACAGACATTTCATTGCTTTTCCTGCCTGTCTATAGATAACAGTGCATCAGACCTTTACGTGGGTTTTGGTGCTGGCTAGAGCTGGATGAATTATTCATAGTGAACAATTTCCCAGTTAAGAGTGACAAAGAGTCCTATGGCACCTTATAGACTAACAGATGTATTGGCGCATAAGCTTTCGTGGGTCAAAACCCACTTCGTCAGATTTCCCAGCTGACTCTCCAGAAAGCACAATGTCCATGGACAGCAGATCACGACTTTGACTCATTTGTTTGCCAGTTGGAATTTGCTGGCAGGGCTTTGGTATTAATGTGTTTTGCCCTTGAGAACTCTTCTCTGAGAATAGCTGTGTGAATTCACTGTCTGAACGGCACAGTACTTTCTCGGCCTGGGTGGCTCTGATTCTTTATCAGCTGTCCTGCTGCTGGCCAAAGTAAATCTCGTTTCTTAAGCAGCCAAATCTCTGCTATGGGCCCTAAATTCACTTTCGTATGAAGAAAACTTTCCCTCCACGAATGATTATGAAAAGCCTGGGGTGGGCATGTGGAAACGGAGGCAAACACGGCTAAATTGAAAGGACATTCAGAACCCACCACAATGTTCACTGATGCTTTTTCCTCCTATTCACTCAACAGTGGTAAAGGGCATTTCAATGAGAAACCAGCGGGGTACTTCTCTAATGGAGCCATGACGTGCTGCTTACAGCCTAATGTGGTTGATGATTTGTCCTGTGGTAGAGGGAATTTCCTTCTTTCTTTATTTTCATGGTTTGCTTCTTTCCAAGATCACAGCGAGCTGAAGAGCAAAGTGCAGCTCCGGGCCAGAGACAATGTCCGTGTGCTGATCTGCATCGAATCCCTCTGTCATCGATACACGTGAGTCACCGCAATGCGGTTCTTAACCTGTCACAAACGGCTCCTTTCTCAGCTACTTTTGACAAATGCCACGGATACCCTCTGTGAATGAGGGACAACTCAAAAACCTACTGGACCAAGCATCTCGAAAGGCCCAGGGTGTTCATCCTTTCAAATTCAATAAACAGAATGGCTATTACCCCTGGATCTCCTAGCGAATAAAACACTCATCCGTCCTCGGTGCTGTCAGGGTTCAAGGCTATCCTGAGCTATGGCAGTGTTGTCTAGTGGCAGGGAGAGGGGTCTTCAAAGCTGGATTCCTGAGGTCAAATTCATCCCTAGTGTAACACTGCTGAAGTCAATAGAATCACACCTGGGTTGAATTTAATCCCTGGCTTTTCTCCTGGGTATGCCACTGATGTGCTACCTGGCCCTGGGCAAGTCACTCCAGTTCCCTGTGCCCAGAAGGGAGTAACTATCTTTCCTTTCCTCACAGCAACCCTGGGAACCTTTGTGGGCTAGTTAATGAATTTGGATGCATGGACTCTATGAGCAATGGGGCCAGGATTTTGAAGTCGGTGGGAGTTTTGCCATGGCAATGGGGCCAGGGTTTCCATATTGCTGCTGAGTGAGATGAGACAAAGGAAATTGACCTTCTCCTTAGCCCTAGAGCTTTTAGCTTCTCTTCAGGGCTGGGGTGAATCCATCCATGTGGCAGTTTTCACTGGAGCGGCCTGACTTATTACCTGATCTGCACGTTAGACAATAGAGGCCTTTGCTTTTCATCACTGCCCATGTGGGACCTTTACAAGCCCTCAAGAAATTCACCAAAAGACATTTCAGACTTTGATCAAAAAGAGTGTGAGATAGGTTTCTTGAATTGGCCCTAATAAAAACAGTGACAGGAAATTTAACGGGGAACTTCGGCCCAGGTAAACTTAGCAGGTGGACACCGTAATATATTTTGTGCTTGCCTGTAAGGACCAGCAGCCTTGGTGCCCTACCAGATGAGCTCATAGATATAACATGTTGCCTCTGTTACTAAATGGCACTCTCTCTTGGGATGGCTGAGGGGTGTGTTATTAAAGCCGTGGGATACTGCTCACCAACCTCTCACTCAGACAGAAAGGCAGCATTCCAGCAGCGACCTGGGGCTGCAGAACCCTGCTATGCAAAGCAAGATCACTGGTAATTTTATAATGCTATGGTTGCCCTTCTATGAAAGCTCTGAATCCAAGGTCACCTAGGAATTCATGAGTATCTCTAGGCTGTACATTATAGTCTCTCAGAACTTATCAGCACAGCTAGAACTCAGATCCTCCTGCTCCAAATATCGAGTCCCCTACTACATGAACAAGCAGAGAATCAGGGACGGCTCTATGTTATTTGCCGCCCCAAGCACGGCAGGCAGGCTGCCTTTGGCAGCCTGCCTGCGGGAGGTCCCCGGTCCCGCAGATTTGGCGGCTTGCCTGCGGGAGGTCCGCCAGTCCCGCAGCTTCGGCGTACCCGCCGCCGAATCCGGGGGACCGGCGGACCTCCCGCAGGCATGCCGCCAAAGGCTGCCTGACTGCCACCCTTGCAGGGACCGGCAGGGTGCCCCCCGCGGCTTGCCGCCCCAGGCACGCACTTGGAGCGCTGGTGCCTGGAGCCGCCGCTGACGGCGAACCTCACGAACCTCCCGCAGAAACACCGCAGAAGGCAGCCTGCCTGCTGCCCCACAGCAACCGGCAGGCGCCCCCCCGCGGCTTGCCGCATCAGGCAGGCACTTGCTGCGCTGGTGCCTGGAGCCGCCCCTGCAGAGAACCTCTGTTAGTAGCATAAGGACTGAAGCACAGGCACGCAGTACTAAGTCCATCCAGTAGAGGAGCTTCCCCCTTCGGCTTTAAAAACATGATTTTCTGCCACTTGAGCCACTAGCTGGCAGCGCTAGTAGACTCTTTTCTTCTTCTGTGGACTAGTCACTAAAGGACAAAGATCCGTGATCTTCTAGTGTGGGTTATATAAGCACATACGTCTAAATATGCCCCAGTCAGTACATTCATGGGCGTTGTTTGTTGTGACAGAGATAGAGCTGGTTTTTGTTTCCTCAGAACTGAGAGAGAATTACTGGGCTGGTGCCTTTTCCCAGTGATCCCCAGCTTTGCTAGCTACAGGAAGGCTTTTTGCCATTCCATAATTGCTGAAAAAATGCATGCTCCACCCTATGAGAGATCCTTACCCCAAAAAAACCTCAAATAAACTTTTTTCCTATTGGATTGAGGTGCCCGGCTCCAATCAGAAGCTTGTGATCTTCAGCCGAGAAAAAGTGGCTTTGATCTTTAAGACTAATCGCTTGGGGTGAAATTCATCCCTGGGCAGGTCAGCACAAGGGCTATGCCCCACTTAAGTCCTATTTTGAGGACTGATCCTCTGCACAGGGGTACATTTCATATGAATTAGAGATGCTCTAGTTCAACCAGAAGCCATGCCCTTGATGTAGGAATCACTGGATGTCAGACTAGATGATCAACATGTTTCCTTCTGGCCTTAAAATCGATGAATCCTGGGTGATTAGCTGACATGAAAGCATGTTTCCTCTTTCCCTGCCATGCACACGGAGAGGTCCATTCATCTTCATCTGTGTCCTTGGGCACGGGACACTCCTGGAGGCAGGATAATGGATTTGATGGACTAATGATCTGACCTGGTCTGGAAATCCTTGTGAACTAGACTTCACCAGGGATGAATTCTGTGCCCAAAGAACCCCCTGGGAAACAGGATCCGTCTTTGAACAGAAACTTGGTCAGGCTCTTGAGTTTTGTGTAAATTTTCCCATGAGCTCTCCCTGCTTGTCAATGGATGGCGCTAACCACGGTGTATACCTAAGTAACTATTCAAAGCATCATAGACAAAATGGGCTAGAATTGAATTTGGCTGAGGGTGCTGAGTAGAGAGAATGATATAAAAGTGTCAGAAAGACACTGTGGTTCCAGGAGGCAGGACTGAGATTCTGGGTCTGAAATACAGGCATTGCTGTGGCTTTTACAAGTTTTATTAGCTGTGAACAGCGTTCCTTCCCTGCCCTGCCATCAGACAACCCACACCCACGAACGGCTTCCTAAATGTAATCACGTAAGTGCCCTGCTAAACCCTCGGGATGTACAAGTTGTCATTATGGTAACCGACCCGACCCACGGGCCTATCAATCTTCCCGAGGAAAGCCTCCCACAAACCCATCCCTCAGACTTCACTGCACACGTGCCTAGTGGTGCTAGCATGTTAATTCAGGGTCAGGGGAGACTATGGTAGCTATGTTTTTGTTATTTCACCTGCATCCCATCTGGATAGAGCTTAGCATCTCACTGATGCTGTCTTTCAAAATGCTGGACCGATCAGGAGGGTGGGTGAGTGTAGATAGTTCCTGATGCTAAATGTGCCAGGACCTATATACAAGCATGTCGTGCCCCCCACCCCCAGGGATAAAGACACAGAGAGACCCCGTTTTGCATATTGAACCCCACCACCCATAACTCAGGGTGAGCATTGAGTCTTGGTGTGGTGCCAAGGATTGTTAAATTCAGCGGCCCCTTAGTATATGCTAGACTAGGGAGGACTTAGGAGAGATGTCATACTGTTCCTCAGCGACGGAAATAAAAAGCCATACAATAAAAAGACTTGGGGGTAGAATTTTCTAACGTGCCTGAGTGATTGAGGAGTCCAAGTCCCATTGTCAAAAGTGACTTAGGAGCCCACGTCTCTCAGAAAGTCAATGGACTCCTAAGAGCCTACATCGCTAGTAGGCCTACATCGCCCCTAATGAAGAGCATCGGAAAAACAATTAATAGATTCTTGGGGGTGGGGAGAAGTGTATCTGCACTGTTCTCTTTGCAGGATCAGGGCCTTAAGGAAGGGCACCCAAAGCATGTGCACAGACGCATGCACCGCTCTTACCAGCTTAACGAGTCACCAAGGCCCTGACAACCTTTGTCTCTGAAAAGGCAGGCTTCTCCCTAGGGAGCTGGGCAGAGGGACTTGACAAACATACGGGCAGGCCTGGCATTTCACCCAGCAGAGGGCAGTGCTTCTCCCCAGGGCAGCCAGTCCCCTTCAAGGCTCGCTCTGGTCGTCTCTAAGGTCAAGAGACCCACCCCGGCTCACCCCCGCTATTCGCCCAAATTGTAGTGAGACTTGAGCAATTAGAGCACTGAAAATGTGTCAATAAAACAACTTTACGGGCGTGACTTAAAGTCACTAATGCCGTTAAATGTGTTGCCGAGGTGGAACCTCCACTTTCCCTGCCCTGTGCCTGGGATGGTCGTAAATGGGATCGACCTCACCTCAGCTTTATTAGAGAATTAAATTGAAATGAAGCCTCGTACCATAAATACCAAGTCTCACTCTTGTGTTTCATTGGTTTGTGGAAAAGACTCGGTTGGTGCCCAAGTACCCATTAGTAACCAAGGTAATGATGAGTGCAGAACACCCGCTGGCCTGTTGGGAAGGTGAGGATCTTGCTAACCAGGGCAGCGTTGTTCTGCAGTCTGCTTTAGAGTGGTCCTTTATGCTTTCAGGGCTCAGAAAAGTGAGGAGCTGACGGGGCCTAAATGAGGGATGAGAAGAAATGTCTCTCCCAAATGTTTTACTGGCCCACTCTGGCCAGCTGCAGGACTCGGAGCCTCCCACTCCTGGACCCACATCCCACACCTTTTTGTATGTGATTGTGTGACTGGTACCAGCTAGAATCAGGCATCTGAGCAAGCTTCCTTCATACAGCTCTGCTAAGTGCATCTCTCTCCCGGCCTGCAGCCTGGCCTCTCCTTGCTGTCTTATTACAGTCCCCTCCCTACTGATCATATTGGAAGCAGGACTGATCCCCTTAGCCCTGAAACTCTTTTGAGCAGAGACTGCCCATCATGCTGTATCTCACATATTAGGTGGGAAAATGTCCCTGATGGACGAACCAGAGTGGTGGCCAAGGTATTTTTCAATAGAGCCCTCAGCCAGTGTGTATCAATGGTTGAGATTTCAGAGATTTGAAACTC